TCCATTGTACATACCACTTTAAAGGGTTCCCGATTCTGCCATGACTAAATTCTAATTGCTCTTCCAAGAGGGCAAGCTTCTTTATCATATTATACCTTGTGAGTATTGTACATAATATTTTACTATATTATACTACACTGTTTAATACTATACTAAGATATAGCATTAGTCTGTTTAGCTGTTATACCAAAAATAGTCGATATGATAATTAAATATTATTTACTATGTGATATAATTATATAGTGTTAATCATTTTAAAATTCAGTAATAGTGTCTAATAGTATGTTCTGCATTATTATAAGCTTATCTTAACCATAATATACTATAATATGTCATAATGTCATATAATATAATATTCTATACTATAATAACTCCTTATATACTAGTATTTAGTAAACTTAAATTCAAAAAATATAAGCTTAGGTTGGGCTTGCTTCTCAAAATTACTAATGCGGAAAGCTCCATTGTCCCGTACTAGCTCATATCATTTGGACTATGCCAAGCGAAAGTTAGCCAGATAATGGCTTAGAATATATTTGTAATTTTAAATACTTTCCCTAGTAACTTTCAAAGCATATTTATGTCTACTTTAAGCTCTAGTAGAGCCAGTGAGTACAAAAATTTCAATTAAATCGTATGCGAAACTATGGTAAAGCTAGGCCTAGGGAAGTTGGATGGCTCACTATTTCTTACGTAAGCTTGTGAAGCTTCCTTGTGTAGCAAGGTTATTCTTTACCCCATCCTCACTGGTGTTAAGAAAAAGTAAAATAATATTTCATTTCAGCTTAGTCTATGTGAATGCATAGCTCGAGAACTCGTCAGGAGACCAGATATCCTTGCCATATTTCCTGACATTATGGCTGAATTCGCAAAGTTATTTTCAGCCGGTATGGCTGATAAAATGAGCCAAAAAAACTCGTCTGAAGCTCACGATTACCGAGGCGAATATAGCCGGAAATGGCAATACATATTGGTTTTAGGCTTAGGTATTGCAATCCTTTAATCCTATATGCTCACCCAATTCGTAGTTTGCTTATATGACTATCTCTAACAGCCTCATTGTGTAATCTTAAAGGCGATTTTGGAGCTTGCAGCCATCGACAGCAATCCAAGTCTGGCTAGACGACAGACGGGATTACTCTTGCTTCACCTGACGTTTTACACATCTACATTCAACCAACAAGAGATTGCGAAGCCTTTATTGCATCTGCTTTGGCCGCAAATCTGGCAGCCCGACCAGGTCAGTCCTGGAGTTTTGGCCGATCAGTCCCTGCATCGTTCACAGGCTGTAGATAGCCCAATAACTGAGTCGGACCATGCAGAAAAGTGGCTCAAAAGCTTCGGGGTCAGGTTGAACGCCCCGAGTGGTACGTCTCTCGGCAGCGTTCTGGTGACGACTGTAGGCGGTTCTGCACAAGAAACAATGTCACCAAAACGTGAAGTCAAATTTCGTCTAGCCGGTGATTCTGCACATAACCAATACTTCAAGGTTATCCAATTTTGCCTTTTCATAATATCTATCTATATTAATTTCATTATTTTATGATACTCTGATGTCGAGACATGTTCAATTGGCAGCTTTACAAATGGATATAAGCTTGAAAAAGTGAAATGAGTAAACTTTATAGTCATCATTGGCGCGAGTAGCAAACCTTTCCGAAGAAGCGACAGACTTCGACCTGCATTCATGAATCGGTCTTCAAGGAGCCAACGAAAAACTGAAGATAGCTCATTTAAATTACCTTAGACCTCGATTTCAACAGGAGTCCAGTTAATTTACATCCAAAATCAAAAATTCAAAGATTTTAGTCAGAACTTGTCATTAGCCTGCCTATTTAAAAATGATACATTTTTTTAGAAGTTGTTTGACCTTGTTTTCACAACTTGGTCATATTGGCAGGAGGCTCTAGAGGAACGCACCTTGTCCGGAGTCCATAGTATGCATGATAATTTCCAGAGTCGGGTAGTGGATTTGGCACATTCCCAGACGTTTCGCCGGCGACGATAGTGGACCTTTCTAGTCTTAGCACCACACTGCAACTCGTCAAAGAAACAAGTGAAGCCGATCCTTTGACCAAATGTGTGATAAACAGTTGTGCTATCTCTCCTTCTGTCCTTGGCTATTCATCTATCTTATATCTTCGTACCACCCTTTCACTATCACAATTTCTCACTTGTTTGTCTAAACCTATTTGAAGCCTATTCACACTCCCCGCTGGTATTATCTACCTGTTTCAGTTATTTCATTCTATTGCTGCCACCGTATCCGTTTTACGCTCTGCCTCAAGCCTTTGTTTGCATGTATACGCTAGTCCCACTGAGCAAGCCCCTAAAGTCTGGATTCTTAATTGGAATAGCAACCTAACATGACGCACCAGATTCCCTTGTCACTGTGCTGCATGTGCACCGAGTAAATCTCTTAGTCAAGCTTTTCTTTCTTTCATGGACCAAGTATATGAGCAAAGTTATCCACTAATAGGTAACTATCACTGGTCACCACCGTTTCTCTTGCTCCATTATCCCTAATGCCAAATCTATTACTTTCTTATGCCTAAGTTTCTTAAGTGCAGACCCCAAATGTGACATTTCTACTTGATTCGAATAGGCTCACTGCAGACGCCTCCTCTTGGTTTCCTATTGTTCTTCTCTGGTCTCCTTCTAATTTCTCAAAACTATTACCTTTGTCCAATCGTCTTCTTTTTGCTGATATTGCTGTTCCATGATCTTTAAATTAGGCAAGAATGGCTAGAAATGGCGATACTCACTGACGATGCCGACTTGGATGCCGGCGAAACGTTTGAAAATATACCACGTCCACGGTTCAACTTTGGAAATGATCATGCAGACAATGGACTCCGGACTGGGTACGTTCCTCTAAGTCTTCCTACCAATATGACCATGTTGCGAACACAAGGCCAAACAACTTCTGTACAACGAAAGGAGGCTGCGACCACACAAAAGGCCACACCATCTTGGTCTTCATACCTTCGACTAAGTCAAGAAGATTGATTGACTTTTCCCTGTGTGATATGTATACTCATTGACTCAGATTGCGTTGGCTGAAACGATGAGGTGTAAACTTGTATGCGTGAATGTCAGTTTACGAAACCATCAGTCTCGTTATGAGTACATGTGATGTAAGACAGAGCCGGTCAGATACCTGCACTTGCAAGAATGAGTACCAGCTCTGACAATGTTAGTCACATAATGAACGAAGGATCAGCAATATTATTCTTCCGGAACGTTGGAGGACGTCTCGTACACTGCATCAACCTTTACGTCATATTAATTCCAGACGGCTGCAGTACAACACGAATCGGCCGACGTCTTGTGGTGAAATTGACCTATGAATCTCTTCATCATGTACTTCCATACGAAATGAAAGTCTTCGGATCACTACATGTATCAGTGATCGATTGGATTGTTTAAAATGATCATTTTATTTTATCGAAACCTTTCTGCTTTTAGGGCCTGACTTCTAGGCCGCTTAGCGTCCATATTTTTTTGGCTCCAGATCAGCGAAACTTCGGGAGAACTCTTTACAAACTTCGGCTTAGATCGACCTGAGGCACGTGCACTGCTCACTTCGCTTCTTTATCCAATGGACTCAACGTTTGCCAGTCTCGAACCATCCCTTCCGGAAAGGTGTCGACGTGCGCAGCGATGCAAGCTGCCCAGCAGCGAAACAGTCAACTTGCCTTATGCATGCCTTCGCATCAACGTCACTCTCATGAGTGAAGGTATTCTCGAATGGGTCGCACCAATCGTCTTGCTCTTGCCGCCTTATCTACCCACCATGGAAAGAGGAGCAAGCAAAATTCTAAGGTTTGTATTCTTCCGGTGACACTGGATGACCTTCTTTTTGTTTGCTCATTTTTACATGTATATGCTTAATGTAAATCAGTTTTGTTGTGCATTCGCTCCAAAAGGACAGACGCAATAGCACGGAAGGAGGCGAAGCCAAGCAGTATTTATTTTTATTTTTATTTTTATTTATATATAGCAATTTCGTAAGTTTATTTAATGATAGTAGTAA